GAAGGAAGGAAGGAAGGAAGGAAGGAAGGAAGGAAGGAAGGAAGGAAAAGGAAGGAAGGAAGGAAGGAAAGAGCTGCTTTGCCAATTGGAACTGGCCATTTGGGTCCCCAGTGGGGCAGCTACTAATATTCACAGGTTGTTGATTGTTGTTTGTCCTTTATTCTCAAAGAGGACCATGACTTCAGGAAGGTGATGTCATGACTTGCAAGTGAATTGGATTTAAGTGACGCAGTGCCTTGCAAAGTCACCAACCTCACTCTCTCCTCCAGAGCCATCTGGGTCCAGTGGCAAGATGTACAATGTTTCACCACATAATCGTCACAGATTTTATGCCAAATTTTTTGCCCAAAAATGGGAGGGTGACCATTACGTGAAGCTTTTTAAGTTGCACCTGTATTACTTAAAAATCATTTTTTACTAAATTGTCTTCGGTGCCAAATTAGGATGCATGGAATACTCACGAATATACGTTCAGATTGAATACTGACAATGCACATGCACTGAGAACATTCATGAATATACATTCAAATTGAATACTGACAATGCACATGCGCCGAGAATTCTAGGCTCAGAATTCTCAAAGCATGAGAGAAATGTGTATCCATATGCTGCTGGTGAATACACTGCTGCTCTGTTAACCTTTTAAGTAAGAACAGAATTATACCATGCAACAATTATGCAATGAAAGATTATAAACCAATTTTTGGACTGAAAAAACAGGGTACAATGATTATGCAGTGGCTACAATTATGCAGTGAAATATGGTAGATCAGGACAACTGGAGATGGTCATGCAGTGAGAGACCTTGGCCTTTTTAAGCTACCGTCTTTCCCAGGTCTCAGTCTGACTGAGGCAATTTAAATAGCAATTGTTTCTGTTTTGCCCAGAAACCCTGAAGATCTCCCCTCCCAGACTGATTTTTTTTTTTTTTTGACTAGGTAAAAGAGACCATTCTTTACCTCTTTTTTTGACCTGGGAAAGACCTCAGCTTAGAAAGGCTGAGGTCTCCCTCTACATCTGGAGCCATTTCCAGTAATCCTGATCTATATCTTGCCACTGGACCCAGATGGCTCTGGAGGAGAAAGTAAGGCTGGTGACTTTGCCCAGCCCTCCCTCACTTAAATCCAATTTACTTGTAAGTCATGACATCACCTTCCTGATGTCATGGTCCTTTTCGAGAATGAAGGAGAAATAACACCAACAAACTGGAGTGCCATTTCCTTCTCCAGTGTGCCTACCATTTTATAGATGAGGAGCTGAGGCAAAGAGTGGTTAAGTGACTTGTTCAAGGTCACACAGCTAGTAAGCATCTGAGGCCGGATTTGAATTCAGATCTTCCTGACCCCAGTTCTGTTGCTCTATTGACTGCACCACCTAGGTAACCCAATAATAATAATAATAGCTAATATTTATATAGTAAACCATGCACCAGGCACCGTACTAAACACTTTACAATTATTATCTCATTTGGTCCTCACAACAACCCTTTGAGGAAGGTGCTGTTATCATTCCCATTTCACAGACGAGAAAACTGGGACAAACAGAAGTTAAGTGACTCAAACACATGTGTCAGGCAGGCACAATGGTCTTCCTCCCTACCAAGTTCTGCAGAAACTTTTTTGGGGGGAAGAAGGAGGCTTCTCTACAGTTCATCCAAGTCTACTTGGTGGAAGGCCACACAATACAAGGGGGGAAAAGCATTTGACTCTGGAGTCAAAGAACTCAGGTTCAGATCCCATCTCTGAGAGGTTCTTTTGTGTGCAAGTCATGTAACTTCTCTGGGTGTCTGTTTTCTTATCTATAAAATGAAAGGCTTAGACCAAGAAGTTTCTGCAGCTGCTCTCTAACTCCAGCTCCAGGACCTTACAATTTGATCTTTGAATCTTATGCTTCAAAAAATAGAGCACAAGAGTGACCAAGAAAAAAAAAGAAATTCTGGGATATGGTGGATCTGTTAAGGGACTTGTAAACTGAAGAAATGTAAAAAGATGAATTTTAAAAAACTGCATTGTGTCTTTAATGCCCAGTTTTAAAAGAGAATTTCAAATTATGAATGAATTGGTAATAAGAAGAATAATGATGAATATATTTTTTAAATTTTTAACTCTATGTGTCACTCTATGGTTACATACTCACAAGTAACTGCCATTGAGCTGCATTTTAGGCAAGAGAGAAATGATCCCTGGGGCAAATTTTGACCCAGTTCCTGAGATAGGAGAGGGTTGAATTATCTGATTGCAATGTAAGCATCTTCTCTAAATTCTTGTTACTGTTAGTATAAGTCATTATATGCAAATTATTTGAGAGGAAAATAAGCTCATGAATATTCAATAATTTCAGGGTAGGGTTGCTAGAATTTATATTTCTAGTTCCTTCCCTCCCCCATGTTCTCAGAAGTAAGCCAGAAAGCTATTCTCAGGCTCTGGTGGTTGTTGTGTGGAAATCAAAGCAATGGGGCCTTCTGAGTTCATATGACTTCAAGCATAATCCTGATAGGGTGTGACAGTCCTCCTTGGTCATCTTTTATAGAAATTGCTCCAGTCCTACCAGGAATTCTGGAAGGAAAGTGCTCACCCTGCTCTCAGGATGAAAGATTTCCATCCAGAAACCCAGGAGAGCAATTTTGCCAAAGGGGGCCTCATAGTATTGAAAGGGTAAGTAAGCAATTTTCACACATGGTTACCCAACTCATCTTGATTGGTGACATTTGTTTTCTTCCCAGGTGTCTGACATTTGGGAATTAAGACTCCCAATCACCTTAACGATATTCACACCAGTAACAAAATTCTCAATTGGTTTTCTTTCTTTATTTAGATGCTTGATTGAATTTTTATTCTTTCCTATACCAATACAAAGTATATTAATTGGCTAAGACTTACCACGTGACCAAAAGCATATGAATGATATTTAAATTCTGTTTTCAACTAACATCAAGGTTTAAAACCATAAACATCTCATTTCCAGGCAAATTAAAGGCTTGGTTTCAGCAGCTGGGATGCCAGCTATGAGGGTCTTAAGAATGGCTTATCATCACTGTATGTAATGAACCAGGGAATTGGGATCCTAATCCTCAGGGCACCACCCTGAAAGCCTATCCCCTAAAGGCACTGCTTCCGGAGTTGGCACTGCAATGTAATTAATCAAAGAAGTTAAAATTAGAGGTGCCACAAGAGTGTGGGGAAACATGAGAAGGCTCAGCAACTTTGAGCTGGCTTGAGAACAGTTAACATCTGCTATCCAAGGCAAGTTTTCCTGATCTGAATAAATTGGGGTTATATGTGTATTATGGATGCACCACAATTTTTTTTAAATAAATACCTTTAAGAGGTTGCTGTTTTGCTATCATTAACAGACCTCTGATCTTATTTCATGAATCACCACACGCTCTCTTGGTCCAATGTATTACAGTAATCTCTTCTTGGGATAAAAGTCTTCTGATGTGAAATATTTAGAAGTAAAGTATGGTGTAATCCTCCTTACATTTTGTATACCTTCTTATACAAATTGTGTGTGTCTATATAGAAAGAGAGAGATACAGATATATAGACACACATATACATACATATATATGTTCATATACATACATATGTGTGATTGTGTGTGTGTATGTGTGTGTGTGTGTGTGTGTGTAGTCCTCACTAGGAGCTCTCTATACTAATGAAATCATGGGCCCACCCAAATGTGTGTCTACACATATCATGTATGTATGTATGCATACACATACAAATGCCCATACATAAATACATTTGTATGTATATGCGTGTATATGTATCCATATATTGTGTACATGTGTATAAACATATACATAATAGCATAGTGGCAAATTTCTAGGACCGTAAGTTGCAAATTAAAGGCCAATCCTTTGTGGGGGAGAGGGAAAGACAGGGAGAGACAGAAACAGAAAGAAAGAGTAGGACAGAAAGACAGAGAGGGAGAGAGAGGAGGAGAGACAGAGTGGGGAAAGTCAAACAGAGACAGAGATAGGGGCGGGGAGACAACAAACAGAGAAAGAGAGAGCCCAACTCTGACACATACAGGATATGTAACCTTGGGCAAGTCATTTAACTTCTCAGCTACAGTCTATGTTGGTAGTGGCAGAATTAAATTCTTCCCAGAATTCCCACACTCCCTCCCTTTCCACTGGGGTGGAGGTGGGGAGTACATTTCTGCATAAGCCTTAAAAAGCCTCGCTGTGTCCAGCGCTGAAGACCAAAGCAGGCTTTCTGGAGTCACAGAGGCCCAAACCCAAAGCCTTGGTGCTCACTGCTACGGACCCAATCACTAAAGCTCTGTAATTCTGCTCTCACAAAGATGATGTGATGTTACTAACTGGAATCATAGAATCTTAAATGCTGAAAGGGTCTTCAAGGTCATTCATTCCAAGCCCCTTCGTTTAGGCCCTGAAAGGTTAATGGCAGACCTGGGAATGGGACACAGGCCTCTTGGCTCCATTCCCACAGTTTAGGACTCTTTCCCCTATATTGGCTAAAGTGGAAGTCAAGCTGAATAAATCTAATTATTTCTCTTCTACCTGAAAATCATTTAAGCCAACTCCAAATAACTGGGTGGCATAGTGAATAAAGCAGAGCATAGAGTAAGGAAGACTGAATTCAAATCCTGTTCCAGAAACCTTCATGTTATCCTCTCAGACTAAGTTTCTTCTTCTGTAAAAGGAGCATGGTAATAGCACCTACCTCACAGCATTGTTGCGAAAATCAACGTTACGTGTTATGTTAATATTAGCTACTATTATCCATACTGACCCCTATTCTTTATGGTTTATAGTCAGGATATAAAAATATCACCCAATATCTCAAATAGGGTGTTATTCTGTACTCAGCTCTCTACTCAGTATATCTGCTGCCTCTGCAAAGGCTAGAAAGAAGCTTCTGGCAACAGCAGAGGGATCCTTTCTTATGTTCCCTTCCATGACTCTGTCTCCCACACAAGTGAAACCCCACCACACAAAGGTGTTTCACTTGTAAACAGTTGCACCAGGCAGCCCAGAAAATGAAGTGGCCAGGGGAAACCCAGAAGGTCTCTGAAGGCTCTGTCTCCTGTGAAATGGGCATAATAATAGCACATCTACCTCCCAGGGCTGTTGTTAGGATCAAAGGAGGAAATACTTGTAAAGCACTTAGCTTAACACCTGGCACATAGCAACCATTATATAAATATTAGCAATTGTTATTATTATTAATTATTAGCTCATTATATAGCTTATATAAATGCACTTCTGGGGAATCACAAAGAATTCTCAGTTGGAAGGGACTTCTTAGGGCAGGGGTGGGGAACCTGCAGTCTTGAGGCCACATGTGGCCTTCTAGGTCCTCAAGTTCAGCCCTTTGACTGAACCCAAACTTCACAGAACAAATCCCCTTAATAAAAGGATTTGTTCTGTAAAACTTGGACTCAATCAAAAGGCTGCACCTAAGGACCTAGAAGGCCATAAGTGTCTTCGAGGCCAAAGGTTCCCCACTCCTGTGTCAGGGAATTTAGTCCAAACCATAACCGAACAAGGCTCTCCCAGACAAGTCATTCAAACTTTTTTCTAAAGACATCAAGTGAAGGGGAAACCACTACCTCCCTGCCCTCTCCCCACTGTGAGACATCTGATTCCATTTGGGGATAATTCTAACTGTTAAGAAATTTTTCCAGACATCAAGCCTAAATTTGTGCACCTGTTGCCCCTAGTTCTGTCCTCTGAGGCCATGCAGACTAAGTCTAATCCCTTTCCCGATGGACAATTCTTCAGATCCTTGAAGACAACTATCATGTCATCCACCATCCCCGCCCCCTAACCTCCAACCTCAAGTCATCTTCTCCATTTCCTTCAGATGATTCCCAAAAGGCATGAGCTCAATTCTCTTTACCCTACCGAATGCCCTCCTCTGAATAATCTCTATTTTATCAGTGTTCCTCCTAAAATACAATGCCCTCAAGGGAACACTGATAAAATATGTTTCATATGTGATCTGACCTGGGCCGGACTACCAACTTCATAATCATGGACATCTGTTTCTCTTAATGCAGTTTAATACTACATCAGCTTTTTGTATACTATTGGCTCATCCTGAATTTACAGGCCATTAAAGTCTTTTTTTTTATGAAATACCAACCATACTTCCCTCATCTTGTATTTGGGAAATTGGTTTTTTGAACCCATGTGTAACACTTTACTTTTATGCCTATTCAAATTCATCTTATTATTAGATTCAGCCAAGATTTCTAGCCCATCAAGATCTTTTTGGATCCTGACTCTGTTATCTTATGTGATAACAGAGCTCTACTTTCCCAGCTATTTGTCACCTTCAAATTTGATAAATATGCTATCTATCCCTTTATCCAAGTCATTGATAAAAAATATTGAACAGCACGGAGATAGGCATAGATTCCCAGGGCTCTCCACAGTAGACCTCCTTCCAAAGTGACATTGAACCACTAATTGGCTGCACTCTTTGGGTCCATTCAATCAGTTCTAAATTTGCTTAACTCAACCATCATCTATTTCATTGGCTGCACTCTTTGGGTCCATTCAATCAGTTCTAAATTTGCTTAACTCAACCATCATCTATTTCATAACTCTCCTTCTTACCACAAGAATACCATGAGTTTAATAAATGCTTTGCAAAAATATAGGTAAATTCTATCTACAGCACTCCCCAGATCTAGTAGCCCATCAAACAAGAAATTAATTTTAATTTGGCATGAATGGTTCTTGATAAAGCCAACCTAGCCTTTTGTGGCCACTGTTCCCTTTTCTATGTGTTCACAAACCATCTTTTTAATAGCATGGTCTAGAAGTATATTCTAATTTCAAATCTCACATCTTCTATAAACAAAGCCTTCTCTACATACCCTACTTGAAGTGATATCTTGCCCTCACAACTCTTACTGTATTTAGTGATTCTACCATTTATCAGTAAATCTTGTGATAATTTGCAACATCTTATATTGTCATTCAAGTCAAAAAACATGCATTAGGAGCTTACTATGTGCCAGGCACTGTGGTAAATTCAACATTTGTACATTTATGTTTTGTCTCCCCAACCAGACTATAAACTCTTTGAGGACGTAAGCCTAAGCAATACTTTTTTTGTACCTCTATAGTGCTTAGCACAGTGCTTTCCATAGGTCTGAAAAAATATGTGTTGATTGTATTTGATTTACTCTAAGACAAACTTGGATTTTCCTTGATTACAACAGAATTACCAAGAGATTACCTGGCTGCTCTGGGTGCCCCGAGAATCACTGTCCCACCTCCATCTATCTCTGTTTCTTTTTTTCTCCACACTCAGAAGACAGAATAACCATTGTTATTATTGTTATGCAAGGTAAAGAAGAAAACTGTCCATTTCAACCTATCACATCATTTCCTAATCTTTGTGTCCTACTCACTAAGTGGGAAAAAAAAAAGCATACCCTCGGTCTGTCCAATAGAATTTACGGTTGATCCAATCCACAGCAAGACTTTCCGGTGTGTCTATTGCTTCCTGAATGAGTATTTCACGCTCTGAGCCATCCATATTAGCTCTCTCTATCCACTTCAGTGTTGTGTGTGCAAAGTAAATCTATAAAAGAAAAAAACAGGATTCTGTCTGATTACTTTGTTTAAAAAAAAAAGATGTGAGGGGAATGGCAAACTCTTTATTCATTTTAATTTTTTTTAAATTTCATGTCTATCTGTACTTGCTATTCATGGTATGCTAATCTCATCCATTAGTTAAGAATTCAGGCTTTGTGCTGCAATCCATATTATTTCTACAACCTGCATGTCCTAAGCAATTAGTGAGATGAGATGTAAGCCCATGCTCCTGACTCTCAAGTGCTGAACTGAGAGTCCAGAAAATAGGCTGCTAAGCTCTGCTGCTAGTTTGTTGAGTGACCTTGGGTACTCCCCCATACTCAAAGGTGTGCAAGAGCCAGCTCGAGTCCTGGCTAAAGAGAGCTGATTGTTATATTTTCAATGTGAGAACCTATATGTCAAAAGTCAGCAAATGCTGCAAACCAGGACTTACTTGTGTTGACTGCCTAGATTTAAGAAATTGACAGAGAAAATGTTAATGCAAACTAAACTTAAAAGTGTGTCCTAATTACTTTTTTCCCCAGAAAGTTTGTTGTTAAACATATACCAGCACACCATTTTCTATAACTCATTTTCGTCATCCATAAAATAAGGACTGGACAAGAAGATTTCTAAAGCCCTAATTCTACAATTTTCTCCTAAATCAACCCAACATGTCCTCCACAAGATTCCCTGAGGGGAAAAGATGCTCTCTTTCAGTTGCAACAAACTGATAAGAAGGTATCCATAAATCAGGGCCATAACTAATACAGGGTGACTGGGTCTTTGCCCTAGGTGTTGGATTTGGAAAGCTGGGACAGCACTTTCAGTCCTTAAACAGCCAGAAACAGCAGAGCTTAGTATTTAGTTAACAGGAAGAATTCATTAAAAGAGGAAGCTAGCAGATCATAAATTGAGCAAGCTCCTCCCATCCTCATGACCAGCATCCCAAGTTTCTTCACCCAGTCTTCCATTGCTACAGGTGTGTCTTGTGATGTTTGCCCCAGGTACATACACACAAACACATACACACACACACACATACACACACACACACACACACACACACACACACACACCCTAGTGATAGCTCTACAAGAACTGCTGAGTTATTAAACAAGAGCTGATCTTGCCATTTTTTTTTCCTGTGGGAAGTATAGAATATTTGATTACTTCGCTATCACTATGGTCACCCTGCAAATTATGAGACACCACCATTCCAGAGGGAACACTGAATGTTAAATATTTAATACCTTAAAATTGAAGTGAAATTCTGAAAAGATCATAAGCCTTAAAAGTCATTTGGAATCTCCTTGCTTACCTCGTGGTAAAAATACTAGCTATATGAAAGAACATACAGCAAAGTATCCATTATAATAGGGGAGTATACCTGAAGAGTGTGGTAGCTGTGTCAGCTTATTTCTCCTGAAGTGAAGGAAATGACCCAGGGTAATGTAAATCACAGAGTACACTAATACTCTCTAGACACATTCTCTGTAATAACAATTTTATCCTGGACTTATTTAAATGGTTAAGTCTGAGTATAAAATTATTTATGAAAAGAAAAGAAGGAAGAGAAAGATAGCTGGTGATGCTTTATCACAGAAGTCCAATTTATAACATTCGTTATATATGGCTCCTAATCCCAAATAAATTGAACCATTACCAATTTACCTCAGTCTCTCATCTACTAACAGATTGCCTGGAATCATGAAAACTAGTCTGTGTTGTCTTCTAATGATAATTAGAAAGGGCAGGATGCATACCAATTATGCGACAGAAATTGATTCCCTCGTGTCAATTCTGTTTCATTCAACAAATACTTATTAAGTTCCCCCTATACTTAAAGCACTATACTATTCACTGAATGATATAAAAAGAGGGAGATAAAATTTGGGCCTGTCCTCAATGAGTTTACAATCCAGCAGGCCATGTCTTAACTTGTACACAAATAATAATTCATAAGTGCATAAGAACTTAATGTAAATTAGTAGCTACCATGCAGATATATTACCTAAGGAAAAATTAATGAGATAGAGAATTTCAATTGTCCCTTGTGAAATTTTCTAAATGCAAGGCAATATTATTATACCAGAAAATATTTCCATTCTTTGACACTTCAAAAACTGGTTATTCCATGTAGACTCTGCCTCCAATGTTGCCATTACCAGCATCAGAAGATTACAACATATAACCCGTCCCTAGGGTTTTGCAGCTTTCAAAAATTCTGGGTATCAAACAGTACCGTTTTCTACCTTCTCTTCTTACAACTAAATGTATTTTGATGGCTACATTCAGAATTTATAGCAGTTATTCAGAGAATCATATTCCTAGAGCTGGAAAGGATTTCAGAGCCCATCCTCTCATTTTACAGATGAAGAAACTGAGGCTTGTGGGAAAGGAGTTTAAAAGACTTGCCCAAGATCACATGAGTAGTAAGAGTCAGAGGAAAGATTTGAACCAATGTCCTTTTTTTCCCCACTGTACCACATTGCCCTGCCAAGCATTTTCCAAACAGCTGTGCAACATATTCAATATACCAAGAAATATATGGGCAAATGTTCAATGGATTAAGCCTGCAATTGAGAACAGATTCCTGTGAGTTAAACAAAGTATTCATGTTACAAAATTGGGTAAGTCCTGCTATAAGACAGATTTAGATAGCTCATATACAATGAACCATGATGATTATGTTTACAGATTGTCATAGTTTTTAAAAGGAAAATGCCAATTGAATCCTTTCCCTCCCTACACATTTAATCACCAATTCATTTCTTGGCCCCATTTACTTAGACCTCCTTCCCATACCCATCCCTATTGCCCTAGCTTCTCCCACTATCATCAAATCAACCATAATAATGATATATGAATCTAACTCTTACTTTAGGGCTTACAAAGCCCTCTACATCTATGGTCTAATTTTTGCTGAGTATCTATTATGTGTGAGGCCCTCTCATACTAACCTCATTTCCCAAAGGAGAAACTAGTTTCAAGATCCCTTGAGATGTTACCTATTACAAGATCTGATTTTTAATAAAGAAGAGGATTTGAGAGGGCAGGGGGGACTAACCTGTGATTTAATTAGTGTAGAGAACTGTGGGTGAGGAAATCTCCTTTGCCAATGATATTATCACCAGTTCTGACACATCATCTTAGAGAGTTGCTTGGGGGCATTGAAAAGTTAAGTACCTTGGCCAGGGCTACTCAGCCAGTATGTCTGAGGCAGGACTTGAGTACCGTATTTCTGACTCGAAGGCTAACTGTATCTACTGCTCCATATCGCTTCTCTTTAGCAGGATCAAGCCCTCAAAATGCATCTAGAGATAATAAAATATTTCAGGTGGGGCTGCCCGTTCTGACCATCCATGCCCAATCAGGCATTTCCCAACCTCTCAGCCTCTTCTCCTTCCCCCTTAGTCCGACGCATGACCAAGGTCACCTATTAGGATTAGAAGCAGAAGGGACAAGGCCTGAAAAAAAAAAACACCACTGTCCTCACCTCACTTCCAAATCCTCTCATTTTTAAAGCCTTACCTTATTTTCAACCGGATCATGATCTAACGCTAAGACCACTCCCATCTGCTGGCTGAGCAGGCTTTCATACTGTGTCCCATCAAAGTAGATGCGCCGAATATCACGTGTGTTGGCAAACAGTAAAAAGGGCTGGGGTCCTGTTGACCAAATTTCATTCATGACTTCATTTGCTAGATAGCATCATGTTTCAGCTACTTCTTATTCCCTCCCAGTCACTAAAATTCCACACTTAGTGATTCATTCAAACCTTCTCCAAACATCTTCTTTTAATAGCTAGGACTTAGAAAGAGCTTTAAAGTTGGCAAAGCACTTTACAAATGTTAGCTCATTTGATCCTCGTGACAACCCTAGAAGGTAGATGCTATTATTATCACCATTTTACAGATGAAGAAACTGAGACAGTGGTTAAGAGGCTTGCTGAGGATCACACAGGTACCTCTTTTTAATAACTAATATTTTGTTCTTCAGTCATGTCTGACTCTTTATGACCCTATTTGGGGTTTTCTCGGCAAAAACGCTGGAGTGGTTTGCCATTTCTTTCTCCAGATCATTTTGCGAATGAGGAAACTGAGACAAACAGGGTTCAATGACTTGCCCAAGGTCACACAATATTAAGTGTCTAAGGTCAGATTCAAACTCAAGAAGATATGCCTTTCTGATTCTAAGCCCAGTGCTCTATCCACTGCACCACCTAGCTAACACTACATATCACTTTAATATTTGCAGAGTATTTTACAAATATTATCTCATTTGATCTTTACCACAACTATGAGAGGTAACACTAATATCATTATTAATTTAACAATAAATAATAATAGTATTAATATTTATTAACAATATAGTCATTGTTAACAATAATATGGTGCTATTATCCCCATTTTGCAGATGAGGAAATTGAGGCAGAGGTTAAGTGACTTACCCAGGGCCAAATAGCTTGTAAGCACCTGAAGCCAGATCTGAACTCAGTTCTTTCTGGCTCCAGGTCCAGCACACCATCTTCTGGACTCCCTAGCTACTACTAAAATGCACCTACTCTTGAAGGGAAAGAACACACTAAATCACCAATACTTCAGAATGAATGAGTTGAAGTGAGTGGTGGGATGGCTGGAATATCAGAGTTGGAAGGAGCTTCTAAAGTCATCCAGTCAAAGCCCTGCCTGAACAGGAATCTTCGTTTTAATTTCCTTGGTAAGGAAGCTCCCAACTACAGTACTCTTGTGATGGACAATTGACTAGAACTTAATAAAGGCGAATAATTGAAAGAAAATGGCCTGAAAGGGGAGGAAAAGGACATCCTCCCCCCAACCTTCAATGGAGTAGAAGGCACCAAACACAGTCTTGACCCATTTCTGAATTTCGCTTGCTGCTTTCCCCATCTGCCACACATCATCAAGATAGCCATGCTGCCAAGTGTAAGCATGACACAATCCCATTTGGGATCACGGGGAATGGAAAAGGAGCACTCATCTCGTCCAATCCCTGTTCCTTCCCTTTTTTTATTAAGTGAAGAAACTGAAGCACAAAGTGGTTAACATGCCTAGGGTCACACAGGTAGTAGGGAGCAAAGCTAGTACTTAGATGTAGGCTCTGTCTAGACCCAAAGCTTTTTCTATCATGCAATGTGGCTTTCTCTTGAAACCTCTTACCTACATTTGTATAGAGTAGAATACATGGATATAAACTCCCCTGGCCTAGACATATGTGGTCAGGGAGATGAGAATATTCAATCACAAAAAGTTACAGGATTATTTTCCATTTCTCAGATTCTGCTGCATTGACTGGGATGCTGGTCAGCTACAGCCCTGTGAGGGACAAAAAAGGCAAACCCTGCGGAATCATCACATTCTCCTAGATTGTATTATTAATAAATCATCAGTAAATATAAAAACTATTTACTGCGTGTCTGAGGTTGTCAGGAATATTGAAAGACAAGCTGCCACAGAGGAAGCCAGGTGACACAATGGATAGAGCACTGGGCATGGAGCCAGGAAGACCTGCATCCAAAGCTGGCCTCAGATACTTACCAGCTGCGTGATCCTGGGCAAGTCAGTTAACACCAGTTTGCCTCAGTTTCCCCATCTCTTTTGTGGTTCAGCTGTTTTGTGTTTTTGTCATTTTGGTTTTTTGTTGTTGTTGTTGTTGTTGTTGTTTGTTGGGGTTTTTTTTTTTGTTCACTTTAGTTGTGTCTGACTCTTTGTGAGCCCATTTGGGGTTTTCTTGGCAGAGATACTGGAGTGGCCATTTCCTTCTCCAGCTCATTTTACAGATGGGGAAACTGAGGCAAGTAGATTGTGTCTGAGGCCAGATTTGAACTTAGGAAGATGAGTCTTGGTGCTCTATCCACTGCACCACCTAGCTGTCCTCCCTGTCTCTAAAATGGGGATAATAACACCACCTACTTCTCAGGGCTGTTGTGAGGATCCAGTGAGATAATAATTGCCTATGTACCTGAAACAGAAGAAGTGCTATATAAATGTTAACTATTATTAGTATTATTATCATCATCAAATGAGATAATATTTGTAAAGCATTTAGCACAGTGCTTGGCACAGAGGAGACACTTAATACTTGTTTCTTTCCTTATTTTGGAGAAAAAAGTATCAATGAAGCAAAACATTTCAACATGGACAGAAGAGGAACGATCAGTCTTAGGATTATAGCTTTCCCTGGGGTGTTCAAAGGAAAATGAATCGATCAACAAATTGTTATTAAACAGTGTGCAAAACCTTACTAGGGTACTATAGGGCTTTATACACCAACGAGTAGAAAATGTTCATGATATTCCCATTCTATAGGGTCTGCTTTAACATAGACATTAACAGGCCCAGAACCTCAGCAGCACTTGCTTCCATAGGATACCTCAGGTCATATTAAATCACTGCCCTATGAGTCGGGTCACCTGGCAAATATACTACATATTTGTGTGGTTTTGGAGAAGCCACTAAGAAAAAATCTATTACCAATTACCAGCTTGTGTTAGAGTGTTGTCAAATGAAAGGCAAAACCAAAAACAGCCTGTAATTTTTAAAATAATGTTTGAAATTTTTTCTCAATCAACAAGCATTTATTTTTAAGAACTTACTTATGGGTGGCATCTAGAAGTGTTTGTGCAGGGACTAATCCCTGGAGAAATAATCCTTCTTGAAGGTTCTTAAACTGAAACTTCAGAGAGCTGGGAATTCCAACAGTCAGAAATAAGGAAGGAGAACCCTGCTCTCCCAAACATGGCGGATAGCCTATGCAAAAACCCAGAGGCCAAAGATGGAATGACATCTTTGGGGGAATAGAAAGTAGGCCAATTTAGCTGGAGCATGGAGTGCATTGGAGAAGCAAGATATAATCAGCATGGAAAGCTAGGGGAGGGGACAGGAGGAAGAATTTCATATGCCAAATAAAAGAGTTTGTAGTTTATCCTAAAGGCAATGGGAAACTACTGAAGCTTCTTGAGTGAAGAAATGACACAGTCTGACATGAGCTCCAGAAATAATAATTTGGCAGTTGGGTAGAGAACAGATTGGAGAAAGGACAGACTGTAGGTGGAAGCCAATTAGAAGGCCATTGCAAAAGTACAGGTGAAAGAGGTGATGAGGGCCTGGGCTATAGTGGTTGTGGCATGAGTACAGTCAATCGGTCAGTTAATAAACATTTATTAAGTGCCTACTATGTGCCAGGCATGCACCAAGGTCAGGAAAGATAATTGTTAGGAAAGATGTCAAGAAACAGAAATCAATAACACTCCATCCCGCCATACAAGTTCATTTTCCAGACCCAATGATACTAACCTGTAGCTTTGCAGCTCTTTCGATCCAACTGCAGCTCATAGCCAGGAAAACAATCACATTCCCAAGACAGTGGGCTGAGAGGGGTGCAAAGCTGGCTACACCCACCATTATCTAGTGATGAACAACCTTTAAAAAGAGCAATTTCATTCAGAATTCTGCAGTGTTCCAAAAATTAAAAATCACTCATTCATAAAATGATAATCATAAAATTTAATGAACTTATCCTTTTTTAAAATAGTTTATCACTTAAGCCACTGAAAAATAGAGAAGACTGAAGGTGGAAGTCAAGAGGGATTTACATATTGCATAAATTAAATTACTAAGATCGACCACTTATTACTAGCTGTGTGACCTGGGTAAGTCACTTAACTCCAACTGCCTCCAAAAAAAAAAAAAGGATATACCATTTAGCAACATGCTTTAGGTACAGTTTGGGGATGAGAGAACCAATGTGTTAAATCTGATCAAGCTGAGCATACTTACCACTACATGTTTTTCCATCTTCCTCAAGCACTGAACCTTCAGGACAGAAACACACGGGACCATCTGATGTCATGACGCAACCATGACTGCAACCAGTGTTGTTGCTTACACAGGAAACTAGTTCTAGTTGTTTGGGGAGAAGACTGTAGTTAGTATTGAAAGAAGTTCACTGCTATTGACTTAAAATGAATTTCTGGTGACCCACAAGTGCTCTTCTGAAAAGGTAAAGTTAAATAAAGATCTGATATTTGGAACTGCTACAGTCAGGGTAGGTGTAAAAATAAAGGGAATGTTTATATTTAAATAGAGTAAGGAAGAACTTTTGGAACTATAAAATGCCTCTTCTGGTTTCCTCTAAATTATTCTTCTGTCAAATATTGCTTTAATAATCATTAGCCCTAAAAAAAATAATCATTAATCCTACTATGGCATTTGCCAACATTGAAACGGGTTGAATCTGCCACATGCTCTTCTGGGCTTTCTTAAGACCACAATGGTCCTATTCCGGCAGTTCGTGGCAATTAATATTTTATGGCATTATTGCTCATTAGGGGGTACAGCCCTCACCAATAAAAGCCATTGATTTCTGAGATAACAGAGACTTCTTAATGATGACAGGCCCCTCACATGTTTTTCCCTGAGCTACTCTGCCTCCACACAGTGACACCATCTCCTTCATAGTTCCTTTGGCTGCATTTTGCCAAGAATGGAATGCTTGGTACCTGAAGGAACTCTGCTTCACCTCCCTGTCTTCCACTTCATGACTTTCCATCCCTTTCTTGATTCTACTCCTGGTTTGCCCCTCCCACCCCCAGAATTCTTTCTAGGCCAAAGCAGTTTTGCTAGTTTTGCCCAGCCTTGTTTTCTCTAAGATGTCAAATCACTTTTGAACCATCAGAATATAACATCGTAATTTTTGACAGAATTTGCTTCAAACCTAAGCAGCTCATATGATCATAGATTTAGAGCTAAAAGGGATCTTAGAGTTCATCTAATCTAATAACCTCATTTTGCAGTTGAGGAGGCTCAGAAACTTGCCCAAGGTCACATAAGTCTGCCTATGGAAGAAGTTGGACTCAAAACCAGATTCTCTTAGTTCAGAACCCCAGTTTTCCACTGTATCCCAATAAGGTTAAAAGTTAAAGATGAGTTATTATTCTTCATTGGTACAAGGAGCTGTCAAGAGTTTCCTCTCTGGATGAAATCATAGGTCATGACCAATGTGTAATCCAGAACTTTATCAACTGGATGCTTTTACTTGGAAACTTTAAATGAACCCTAACTCTATTGGTACATAGGTCACAATCCCTGTTTTCTTCCTATACAACTCTTCTCCACATTTTACCATAAATCCTCCATAGAATATCTACCCAGGACACTGGAGGCCTTCCTCTTGGTTTTGTTGGCTTTTTCTCCTTTTATCTTGAGTACCAGCGTACCCACTTAAGTTGCCCATCTAGTATCTCTTTTGTTTTCTTTTCCTTTTATCTGAAGGGCACCAGGGTACCACTCTGGTAGCCCACCATATTGTCTATCATGACTAGGCACTTCCTTTGCTGGCCATACATATCCTCAGTATCTTCCTGCATTCCATTTACTGAATGCAAGTCATCACTGGTAACTTACTGAGGCCTGTTTATGCCTTTATGTCTTTCCTTTGGGTTATTTGTAATTTTAACTCTTCTGAGATCATGACTTATGTCCCATAAGTCACAGTTGCATGGCATCATTGTTAAGAGTATTGCTATTAAAGATCTGAGCAACAACAAGTAGTTTGGGATCATTGAAAGCATGCCTAATCCTCATATAATCAAGCCCAGCATGGTGGAGGAGAAATGGAGCTGGAATTGAAGTCAGAGGATTTCGGTTCAAATTCCCATTCTATAAATTACTATAAACCTTATATAACTCACTTAACTTACTGGGACTCAATTTCTTACATCTGTAAAATGAGAGGTGCTGGATTAGATAAGTGCTGAGGCCATGACACCTCTAAATCTATGACCTTCCTCCTTCTATTCACTATCCAGCTTTGTCCAAGGGGCACATGGTGATAGACGATGGGTTATCTGACTACAGAGGAAAGGAAAGAAAATAAGCATTTATTAAGCACCTACTATGTGCCAAGACATTGTGCTAAGTTCTTTACAAATACTATCTCATTTGATCCTTACAACAACCCTATGACGTGGTTGGTATTACTCCTGTTTGGGTTTGTTGTTTTTTTTTTTTACAGTATAGATGTTAAGTGATTTGCTGATGGCCAGGAAGAATTGAACTCAGGTCTTCCTGACTCCAGGCCTGGCACTCTATCCACTGTATCACCTGGTTACATAGCATGATCTGGTGACTATGAGATTTTCATCTTCTTTGTTATCAACTAGAAAGCTCCAGAACTGGACCTTTGTGATATTACTCAATACTGACACCAATACTAACTAACCAGAAGGGCAAAGTGCTCATACCCTTTAATCCAGCAATACCACTACTAAGTCTACAGCCCAAAAAGATTTAAAAAAAAAAAAGGAAAAGAACCTGCTTGTTCAAAAATATTTACAGCAGCTCTCTTTGTGGTAGAAAAGAATTGGAAATTGAAGGAATGACCATCAATTGGGGAATGATTGAATGAGTTGTGGTATATGAATGTAATGGAATACTATTGTACTATAAGAAATGATGAGCAGGCGGATTTCAGAAAAACCTGGAAAGACTTGTATGGACTGATGCTGAGTGAAATGAGCAGAACCAGGAGAACATTGTACACAGTAACAGCAACATTTTACAATAATCAACTGTGAATGACTTAGCTATTCCCAGAAATACAATGATCCAAGACAATTCCAAAGGTCTCCTGAGGAAAATTGCTATTCACATCCAGAGGAATAATTGATGGAGTCTGAATGCAGATCAAAGCATACTATTTTCACTTTCTTTATTTTTTGTAGTCTTTTTCTTTTGGTCTGTTTCTTCTTTCACAACATGAGTAACATTGAAATATATTTTGCACCATTGCACATGTATAACCTATATCAAATTGCTTGCTGTCTCAGGGAGAGGGGAGGGGAGGGAGGGAGAGAGAAAATTTGGAACTCAAAATTTTGTAAAAATGAATGTTAAAAATTGTCCTTATATGTAAATGGAAAAAATAAATGTGTTTTTTTTTATCTGACTGAGCCCAGAGATAAGGGATGACTTGCCTCACCCAAACCCAAATGGCAATGAGCTGGGTGGGCTATATCAACTCACAAGAGCATCGAATAGTAGGGAGGAAAGAGGAAGATGAAAGAACGGATAAGACCATTGCTGAAGTGGATAGGAGAATGATAATGGACAAAATATGGACCAAGAAATGGACAAAAATAGAAAAGATAGAAATGCTCAATTCTCTCTTTGATTCTGTCTTTTTCTGCCAAAGGGAACAGATTTGGCTTAACCTTACGTCCTTCTGTAACAGGGTTCGTAAACTGGTAGAGCAGGGAATACTGAAGTTAGAGTTTACCCAGATTTTAATAGAGCATTTGATAAAGTATCCCTTGCTGTTTTCATGGTGTATGATACAGTGGGTAGAGTGCTCTAGAACATAGCTCTAGAACAGGAAGAGAACTCAGAAGCCATCTAGTCCACCCCTGCCCCACTAATTTGACAGATGAGATAACTGAGGCTGTGAGAGAGTCTACATTGTGCCTTGACCAAGGTCACACAGGTACTAAATGACAGTGCTGGGATTTGAACCCAGATCCTCTAACTCCAAATACACTATTTCTTCTGTGCCTCTCTAAGATTTACTGAACTAGACTCCTGTAGAGTCCAAGAAAGAGTGGGTTCAAATCCTCCTTCAAATACTGTGTAACCATGAACAAGTCACTTAACTTTTGAGTTTCAGTTTCCTTATCTTTAACATAGAGATAATAATCACACCTACCCCACAGGGTTATTGTGAGGATCAAATGAGAGCATGTATGTCAAACACTTCACAAACCTTAAAGCAGCTATATAATTTTCAATTATTATTGCTATTCAAAGAGTCACTGAAATATGTGGAGTCTACCTCCTAAATATTCACGGGATCAAACAGCAAGCATTTCTTCTTCTTCTTCTTCTTCTACTTCTTCTTCTTCTTCTTCTTCTTCTTCTTCTTCTTTCTTCTTCTTCTTCTTCTACTTCTTTTTCTTCTTATTTTTCTTCTTCTTTTTCTTCTTTTTCTTCTTCTTTTTCTTCTTATTTTTCTTCTTTTTTCTTTTTCTTCTTCTTTTTCTTCTTCTTCTTCTTCTTCTTCTTCTTTTTCTTCTTCTGCTTCTTCTGCTTCTCCACCTCCTCCTCCTCCTCCTCCTCTTCCTCCTCCCCCTTCTTCTCCTTCTCCTTCTCCCTCTCCTTTTTCTTCTTCCAATCAGGGTTAAGTGACTTGCCCAGGGTTCCACAGCTAGTAAATATCTGAGGTCAGATTTTAACTCAGGTCCTCCAGGGCAGGTGCTTCCCTGGCTGCCCCACAAGCATTTCTTATTAAGCACCTACTATAATAAGCTCTAATGACACAAAAACAGAAGCAGAACAGTCCCTGCCCTCAAGGAGCTAACATTCTATCAGGGAAAAATCAAGTATATAGATTTAAAGCCAAAAGGGGCCTTGGATATTATCTTGCCCAAGTCTTTCATTTTTTCAGATAAAGAAACAGAATAAGTTTTTCAAAGAGAATAAGTGACCTGCCCAAGGCCCCACTTGGTAGGAAGTATCAGAAACTGGATTTGAACTCAGGTTCCCTCACTTTATCTCATTGACTTAATATAATTATATATAATATATATATATATATATGTATGTATGTGGGGGGGTGGGATGTGTGTGTGTGTGTGTGTGTGTGTGTGTGTGTGTGTGTGTGGAGGGAGGGGCAGAGGGAATCTTCCTGATTCCTAGCCCTGTGCTCTATCCACTGCACCACCTAGCTGCCCATAGGGCTTCTAGTCCTAATGGAATTAGAAAGAGATTGAGTAAGGCATCTAAAATAGGCTGGCCTTGGAGGCAGAGGACTTGCATTCAGATATTTACTTGTCCTTTCTTGATTTGTGTGACCTTGGACAAGTAGCTTAACCTCTCCTGGCCTCAGTTTATTCATCTGTAAAATGAGA